AAGAGAAGAAAAACTGTTTGTGACCCCTAATCACTACTGAATGGATGCTAGATTTCTCGAAATTCATACAATGGTTGATTTGAGGACATAGTATCAAGCTAACTAATTAGCACAGGCTAGATTAAGTTGAGAAATTGGGACGCGACAAAGGTGGAGAAAGTAAATTTTTATACCCTTGAGAACGGTAGTATATAAGATGGCAAGGTAAGCAAAGGAAGTCTCACTTCGGCGAGCTCGTCGTGACGTTATTTTATTAATTATTATCTATACCAGGCCACACGTTTCTGTGCCTTAGTGTGTTTAAAAGTAATAGAAAGAAAAGAAAAAGCACACCTTTCTCCCAGATGTAGTTTCACAATAATTGTGTATACACTGTTGTTGTTGTTGTTGTTGTTGTTGTTGTTGTTGTTGTTGTTGTTGTTGTTGTTGTTGTTGTTGTTGTTGTTACGTTGTCTGTGCACTTATGGAGATTGACAGGTTTGCCGACTCTAGAACACGCAACAGATAATTTTCTATGTGAGAAGCAGTCCGTGCATAAATCTAAACCGCACACTTCCAAAGACTGGTCTTGAGCTTTATTGCATGTGATTGCAAAGCAAAACGAATTGGGAATTGTAATCACTTAATTTTAAATGGCGTATTAGTAAGAATCACCGGAAAGCGAGGAATGAGGATATTTTCCCCTTTGAAACATCCAGTCGAGGTTACTGCTTGTACGACGTTGCTGAGTAATGCTTTTACTGTAAGCCGCGTGCCGTTGCAAAGTTTCGGCTGGTTGATAGCTTGCAACGTGATAACTGATGAACCGCTAATCAATTCCATTACCTGCCGTGGCTGTCCTGGCAGGGCAAGTGAATTTAATACTTCTGTTGAATAAGTAACCGCTTTATCTGCTTCCAACACAGTGTCGACGGACTTGTCTACGAACGCCGGGCCTGAAATGTTAGGCTGAATAACAATGTTAACTTCGTCGACGTCTTTATTCTTGTCCGCAAGAATAGCTCGTTCACTCAGCCAATGGTGATTCTGATGATTGGTGTGAATATTGGGAAATAGATTTTCAACCAATTCTTCTTGTGGCGTCACAGAAGTGCAGAAGTTAGGAGGCGCAGAAATTATTCCCAAGGTCAGACCAAGGGGAAACATTCCGTTCCCAATATCCAGTGATTAAAGGGGGAAAACCTCAGCTGACTGATCCAGTTGAAGCTGTACACGCATATTCGCAGCTAATTTTAACGTCTTAATGTGACACCACTAAGTAGCATATTTCGGGCAAGTATTTGTTCCGTCCGGTGGAGTCGACCGAGGAATAACAGGTAATGTTTGCCTGGAATTTCCTGCGAGCAATAATAACGCGATTCTAAATGGTCAGATATCATCACATAAATCTTAAAAAGATCGATCAATTTACTTGAGCGGTATTTTGTGCACCATTGTGTTTTCATACCAAACAATAAACTTACATTTCGAAATACTTTTCCTATACCGGACGATTTAAAACTGCTGCATGTTCATTAGCAATTTCAAAGCGGAATGAGAGGTTCCTCCAATAGGTTCAATACATCCGTAGTGTCTGGTGTGATAAAATGCATGACCTTGTAAGACCAAAGGATGGAAAATGCACAAGCAAATTAAAATCAAATATGTTCCAAAGTGGAATATGAATAATCGGTAGGAAATCGTCGCACTAGATCACATTGTTGGGCTGCTTTTAACATCAAGATGATAAATAATTAAGGTTCGTCACAGCCAGCTTCCAAATCAGATAGTTATCGACCTGCCCGGAAAAGCACTAAACTGAAGTTTCAGCCTGTTGAGCATCAACAGTTGTGCGCATCCATCGGATCCATCAGGATGCGAACACATGACGACAAGCGGATTGCACCGCCAGTCAGCAGCCTATGCCACGGGGCCACGAGGGACAGCTTCGGACCGTCATGATTTACAAACCATCTGTGATATAGCGCGTCTTATCCTCCACTGCCATGCAAGTTACGAACGTTGCAGAGGACAGGGTTGGCCCCGAAAGACAAGATGTCCACTAACAGTAGTTACGTACGACATCGCGCTTAGAAACTGTTAGGGCAGGTTTATTTTATGTTTTAACAGATTCTAAACGCTACGTTTAGGATTCGATGCTTGCACGAATTTTTTTTCTAAGGTCCTAAGTGACCGCTTTCATCCGCTACATAATGCTCGCCCACAAACATTATCAGAATCTCACATGTGCTAAAATATTAGGATTTGATTCTCGTGCACTTCGTATCGCAATGTAAACGTGCCTTATTTGTCACGCTTTTTGTCGACCCTATGCAATACACAAATACTTTGCGCATGCCTTTGCTTGAATAACATCCACATACTTTTGGATATTTATTGCTTCAAAGTGTTTTTATGTATTTTACTGGTCCTATTCATTTAGTTTAGCTTCAGTGATAGTGTAAACGCTGATAATACACTTGTGTAGGTGTATAAAGCCTATTTTGACTTAAACACGTGCTTTTCCATATGATCCCTGTTCCCCGCTTGTCTGGGTTATGATTGACATTGGGTTTACCGCTCAATAGATTTCCGGCCGACAAATTTTTCCTGCGTATGGCTCAATGGTTCATATGTACATATAGCTAACGCTACTCACACCGTTTGGGCTTCATGTTACCTGCTCTGGTCAGTGGGATCTGTGTCTGTGAGTTTGGTAGCAGTGCGTCACCAGGCACACGGGTGAACAAAATCACACAAGTTTTGTGCATGCAAACGCACATAAAAGTATGGTGGCAATGCAAGAAGAACAAACCATCGTAACTAATGTATACAGTGGTGTTCAGTACTAAGTTATGTTTTGTCTGGTAGCTTTAAAGAAGCTCTATCGAACTGTATCACAAAGGTACTGTTGAAACTCAAATAAGCAGTTTCACACACTAGTCTCAGTGAATAGACTTCCGAAGATGTCGTTTGCAGTGTACCCGCGTGATCCTGGAATACTTCGAAATTATAGATCCTGTTGGATACAGCTCAGTGATCTGAATCAACTGAGTGTACTTCCGTCGACGTGACACAAAATGTGAAGGGATACGTCCAAGTTAACATGGAGCACAAATTGTACGACTGGCACGCGGTGCGATATAGTAGCAATGTGGCAGCAGTTACGGACGACGCGAGAACTAGGGCTATGTTATTTTGGGACCGAATTGCTACAATACTTAAACTAAGCAGAAACGTTTTACCAGTTCCTTCTGACACAACTAAAAAGAAGGTTGCTCCAAACACGTTACGGACAGTTTAGATTATTTGATCGTAAATGTCTTATTGGCGCAAGTGTTATCCTAAGAATATTGGAGTGCAAGTGTTTTAAGTTTGCTCACGACGCAATTCGAATTGGAACGAATCAGCAGGAGATGGAATCGATGATGAGTGGGAGCTTTGTTTCCGACGAACATTAAATCACTATCAATGCTTCGTTATGCATTTCTGCTGGGAAATCCATGTTCATTTCTGCATCTTCTTGGCGTATTTGAAGAAAAATTTCTTCCGCCATGTGCGGTTTGTATTTCTCCCATAGCTCTGTTGCAGATGAAGAAGAGCAGATGATTAACATATATGTAAACAATGAGCAAATTTGATTTGAGTGTGCCGTGTTACACGCGTCGGTATTGCCTAAATCTCAGTGTCGGCCGTTCTCCAATAAATTCATAGTTTAACATGCACTGCAGAAAGTGACAAGTGTAACACAGTCGACCATCCATAATTGCTGGAAAGAGTTTGAACCAAGCACACTTATCAACAACATGCGAAGCAAAAAGCATTCACCTTTTATGGGCTACACGGTGTACAGTCTGCCTATGGTAGTTTTCGTGAAGATGTCACGTTGTCCGTCGATCCGCATTCCTCGTTTGCGTCATTCAAATGATTTTCTACTCACATTCCATGTGTACTACGCGGGAACTTCAGAATACACAGCTTATTCGTGAACATGCCATTTTGACATAACGTGAAGAAAGCAGTTAACATTGCAGCTGGGGGATTTAGGGCCATTTGGTGAACATTTGCTAGTTGAAATAATTGCGTTGCCCGTTTTCCGGATGTACTGCTCGGTAAACAACCGCTGGACTTCGTTCATCTATTGGAAGAAATCTGCGCCATACAGCGTCATTGCGGCTTATGAATCTTCCACGCAGATACTGCGCAATTTCATCTATAGGTTTGCCCTTACTCAAATCACTTCACTCCAGTATCAGGTCAAAAACGGCCATGTCGCTGTCCTTATTCACGTGCTTACAAATGTATTTGATGGATTTAACCTAGTTACAGTATTCCACCTTTACGTTCACCTTGTACGTTCTTAATTGTAAAGACGAATATGGAATAAACCAACCCGTTATCGACTCCGATTAGATTGTTTCACATGTGTATAGTTCCAAAGTTACCGCCGTCTTCTACTGATCACCTACAGTATACGGGATACCTGTCATTTCCTGTTATTGCGTTGATTAATACGCGAGGACATAGCTTTTAGCATTTTTCCTCTGGTATGCATGGTGCGTTTCGATTCAGTGAAGCGTAAGTTCCATGTATCATACTTTTCATCACAACTTCATGCAAGATCATATGGACATTAAACATGGTCGTTAACATGATATCAAAGCAACAGTGATAATTTGAACACCCAATTTGCTTTGTTCTAAGATGCACATATTTCGTCGTAAAACGAAAGGCTAGGACATTTGATAGTAGTACATTACATATGGACGAGGCAGTTTCACTGATAAAGTTTGGATGGTCAACACACTCACCTAAAATATATTAGTTCACTCATGGTGAGGAGTATCACTTTTGTTGTCTCGCTGATGAGCCTGCTTCATTGCCCATTTGCAACAGGATAATAAAAACCGTTCAGCTCATCCGTTGCTATTCTTTACCTATTAATTAACTCTAGGATGTAAATGTGATCTACAAGTACAAACTGCGCTTGACACATACTATGCTAGGTAGAATTAACCACATATCAACTAAGAGGTTTATTGATAGATATACAAATTAGATCGCTGCAGTGGAAAGCAAAATGAGAAGGATGATTCAGATTTTCCTGACTTTCTCCCCCGATACCGTTGGATTGTCCTTCCGAATCTGAGCCTGCGCTTGATCGTGATAGTTGAAAATGCAGTTGTGACGGTCGGTATACCGGTGGTACTCACAGAGTGTAAGGCCACAGTGGCACTGTAGACCTACAACATAGGAAAATAATCCATGAAGCACTTCATGGCGTGCACGCACTGCCGTTCGGTCAACGCAAAGTTATGGTGGTGCAGAAATAGGTGGAGGCGCAGGTTACCAAATATCTTTGCTAAATAAAGAATGTGTCAGTTGCACGCCGTAACGACGCTTCGCTGCCACGCGACCACCACCAGTCGCGCGTGGGCTGAGTATACCGCGAGGACGCCTGCCCCTACGCGGTTTCGAACCGGTGACCTTATGGTAGCAAACGAGACACGCATATCACTTAGCTACCGGCCAGGTATGAAACGCCTGAAAGCCGCAGCTAGGAACCCCAAAATATTTGAGTATTCCTTAATCTTTTCATGTGCCGATTCACATGTGGAAATCAGGGAAAACGGAAAAGATATGTGTACGGTAAACGGACAAGTCGACCACAACACGAATATCACCAACCGCTGTATCGTAACCGTCTAGCAATATATTTTAGATATGACAAATACATTGACACTACGTTAAAGTTAGATTAGTGTTAACTTCGACAACAACTAAGGAAGTCCAAATAAAGCTGTGCTGCTGGCAGTCATAGGTTCGGTTCCAGGACAGAGGAAGTGCACTTCACTGAAAATCTCAAACGGAGCAAGACGATCGTCTGGTGCAGTTCCGGGTTCCGGCTAGCCGGTTTATCTTGTGGGCTGCTGAGACGAGCCGGTAAAATTGCATCAATTATCTTATCGGTAAAGCTACGCATTCTCAACTCTATATAGCTTGCTTCTCTCGTTGCCGTTGGTATTACCGTAATTAGCCTGACAGTTTTATCGACGATCATTGGATCCGACGGCGGATGCAGGGTGAAAGAAATAGTGCGGGTACCTAGTGATAATGAAGCCTCAATTCATGCGAGCCATCGAGTTTTATCGACAGGTTGAGAAGTGCTTGCCTATGTGTACAGCTTGCCAAATTGGTCACTAATAAAGATGGGATGAACAGAAAACTAAGAAGTGACATGTTAAACAGTGTGATTTTTATTGGTTTAAGATGAGTCATAATTTTAGCAATCCAACACGGAATGCTAATGCTTTCATCATATGGCATAGTTTTACCAAGGCTTGCCACGGACTTTGTCAACGACATGTTTTGCGACCAAGTTAGCGACAAATGCACCATGTGCTGAGACAAACGCTACGCAGCACATCAGGGCTTGGTTTTAACAATAGTGCTTGTTTAACGCAAAGACAGCGAAAGACAGAATCATCTATGTAAACATAGACATTGCTCTCGGGAGACCCTTATGACCAAAGAAAATTTGTCGGTTACCACCTCAACTAACGGCATCTGTAGAAAGCTGCTCTACTAGTCTAGCTGCATCCAAATGACTGTGTGATCAAACCTAGTTAACGCAGTTGGGTCGTCTAGATACGATGACATCCAATGAGAAGTTGTGTCAGTTGAACATTTATGCTAAGGAAACCCGGGTACAGATGGACCTCGTTCAGCAGCGAGTTTCGCTCCTCATCAGCTCAATACCACTCGCAGCTAACGACTTAGACGGCGCAATATGTGTTGTGCAACCACTCAACTTGGTCCGCTCCAGGAAAACCACCACAGAGCAATCGTGTAGGATAAGTTTGGCTGCTCGAAACAGGCCGAAAACGGCAACAAAAGGAGCCAGTCAGCATCATGGACTCTTCTTAGGTAGAGCTTTCGAAAATTTCGAGCCATTCATCTGTTTACAAATGCTAAACTCCTGCATAAGGCCTTATGTGGAGTGCGCTATCCGAGCCTAGAGTCTCCAGTGCAGGCGCGAGATTGATGCACTTGAAGCTCCCCAACGTAGAGCAAACAAATTAGTGGATTGTTTCATCTCCACTACCAACTCAGACTGCAGTCCCTAAGATGGTACAGTGGTGAAAATCAGCGTTTGCGAGGAGACTTCATCATATAGTACTTAGTACTGAGTAAACCAAGTCACACCTGTCGCAACCTGTTGCAGCTCAGCCAGTATACGAATCTGAGAGGTCATCAGCGCAAAATAGCCACGCACTACAGTCGACTTGATTGCCGACAAAATGTTTTCTCCCATCGGGTGTCCGGAACAAGAAACGCCCTTCCAATTTAAGCCATTTCAGTCTCTACTTCAATGGTTTTTATAAAACCCCTTAATGACACACTTTCCCACTTTTATCACTTGAGATAGTCTGTTTCAATCGAATGACAAAATAACGTGAATTGAACTAGGTATTTTAAAGTCCTCTCGGCAACCTGGCGGTTAGGAAAACTACATAAGTATCCATGTGAATAAGTTGGTGAGTCACTATGAAGCCGATTTTTCCACTCTTCCCTGTCACGTTTTGCCTTTGGTTTTCTAACTCATCCTACAGGATTTGACAAGCAATCGCATTTTTACCCGTTCTAAATTATTAATCACTGTTCAACTGATACATCTTCCTGTTCAATGTTAGTTATTTCTTTCATTTTTTCTCACTCCTTCTCTTCCGCTTGTCTGGGTATCGAAACACTGCTCGAAAAGTTCGATTACATCCTTGAGAGTTCAAAACTGTCATCTTGTGAATGACGCAGCGATTAGTTGATAACCCCAGAAAATTAAAGCTAATATCGACACCACATTTACAGGTTGTGCACATGAATTTGATGGACATTCAACTCTCTCAAAATGAAGTGGCAAGGGGCTAAAAAGTTAATTATGATTAATCCCAACTGGTTCAGTTAATTACCCTCTACTTCTGTATAAGTGTTGCTCAACCTAACTGTGATGCCACAAGTGGTTCGCAAGTTCAAATTCAAAAGATTGGTATCCTGTGCATGCTAGTGAAGCGCTAGTCAGTCAGCGGTGAACCTCGAAGCCTTAGGGAGATGTGGCAAGTTTGATATATTGGAAAATGCTTGGGACTGATCAGAAAGTAATTTTTCATATAGCTTTCTGAAAGATGTTGAAGATTCCTCAATAAGCTTATCTGTTGGCGTTTGTAACAATGTATGAGGAAGAGGCAATAAATGAACAAAACGCATGATAGTTACAGCGATTAAAACCATAAGAACCCACTAACCTGTCAAGCCGAGGCGTTTGTGACATTCGTGGCATCGGTTTCCGCTACTGTGCGGGGCTGAAATATAAGCAGAATGTACCATAGTACTAAAAACATATCTCGATTGCATTTGTAACCAACGGTCTCATTTACCAGCGTGATTAAACTTCAGTGGAGCAGCAACGTTTTACTTTAGCACAACTGTGAACTCTGGAATGGGATGCCTTCATTTCATTATTTATGCCTCTGTTACATATTGGTATACAAACCTCATCGTATAGTGATATGAACTTTGTTGTTGTTGCTGCTGTTGTTGTTGTTCAATACACGCTTCTATTGTACCGGTAGTCTGGAATAATTCTGCATTCAGTATCGGTCCATCTTACAATTGATACATTTGGGGAAATAACCAGGGTCCTGTTTTGCCAGATTATTTTTCAGCTGTGTATTCCTTTTCTGATGTGCAACCAGCTGGTGTTAGTACGCTATATACTGATATTAGTTCTTTTAAAGTAAATAGATGTGTCTTATATTTCTCGACTATACGAGAAGCCGTCTACTTGAAAGCACACATCAAGCGTCATCACAATCACTTCATGCTGACGCATGGTGAGCCTAAAAGTTGGTCTTTCTTCCTATCGATGCACCGGCGTTTTTCACGAAAACGTTATAGAAGCTCGAGGCCGGCGAAAAGAAAAGTAAGAGGATGTAGAGCGAATTGCGATATGCCAGTGTTGATTTGGCTTAGGTGTTTTTTGTTTATTCATAATCGCTCTTTTAAAAGACAACGCTTTGAGTAGAGCGATGGTTCAACATTTAAGCTACAGACATGTCATTCCATTTGGGAGTGGAATAAACAAGTTTTTGACGCATAAGAAATGCGTAGATTAATATTCCCATTATTCCTGAAGGGGTTTATAAATGTTAAAGCTAGAGGTATGATTATAAAGTGATTATGAAACTACAGCTAATTAGTACACACTGTGACCCATTTTACTACAAGAACAAACGTTAGTAACAATAATAAAAGGACTTGTCATCTGTACGCCGTAACGGCGCTTCGCTGCCAGGCGGCCATCATCAGATGCATGTGCGCTGAGTATACCGCGCAAGGACGCCTGCCCCTACGCGGATTCGAACCCATGGCCTTATGATTGCAAGCCAGACGTACATATCACCTTGCCACCGGCCGACACAAACATCAATCTATAGACAGAAAAGAGTTAGATACTGAAGCAAACAAGTACTGCGCCGCAAAGCAGATGGGGCGTTACTCTATGTCGAGAAATGAAGCAGTGTCAGAATGTGAACATGTAATTTTATGTTACTGTGACACTGATATGTCAGATTCACCAAACTGGTATGGCAGTGAACCAAAAAACGACTACTGCCCTAGTGTTTTGTAACTCTTTATTTCCCAGCATCCTATTTTTCAATCGTCTACTTGTCTTGACGAACAGCACTAGCATTCATTACAACTTCACAATGAGTTACGAGTCGTGCTGCTCCTTAGCTCTCACTACTGGTTTCTGATCCATTGGAGTTCTTCGTACAATGTGCTTTCGATTCAGCCGCTTTAAGTTTCTGCGCCATTCCGCATTTGCTACCGCTCTTACACGTTATCACGGACGACTCCAGTCTCTGTATCAACTTACAACAACGCACACATAAAGAACACTGTTCATTGTGCTCATTAAAGCTAGCACACTCAAACTCTGGGAACGGTAGATCAGAAAAATACACGCATGCAGATCCGGGCACCGGGTGAAGAAACGCAAATTAAATCTACCATTTCTTTTTCGAACTAACATTTCTTTCCATCGCAAAACTCCGGGGATTTAGACGCCAACGTCTCTGTCCGATCAGGCTCATACGACTCGTGCTTGTCCACGATTGGATCGTCTACAACGAGCACATGTTCCATGTTATCCGTTGATCCACAACCTTCATTTGCAGCGGAACCCGATTTAACTGCATCGGCAGCGAGCTGCTCAACTGTAAAACAGAAACAGTGGAGGTAGTCTGTTTCAGTGGTTGTATCACCTCCGCATGAGTCAGATACACTTAATGTTTACAAAAATCTGAGAAGACAGTGATGCAAGTATTAAAACTGTAGTAATAACAGCCGGCTATATTGTGCCTTCCTTTAGATTCCTACAATTAAAAAGTACTAAATTAAAAAGTTTGTTCATATCTAGTCGTAAGGCTAAATAAATACCAGTATAGATGTCATTGACTGCAAACTAACCTTTGCTTGAGCCTTGGGCCACTTCTGTTCCCTACAAAATACAGTAAGTAGATTGAAACAATTAGTCAAATATGACTGTGCTAAAGTACACAAAAGCGATGGAACAACTGAATGTTGGTCACTACTTAAGTGTTCAAAGTAGTCTTACATTGTGTGCTCTTCAGTTGGTGGGAAAAATTTACTAGTTCTCACTTAAGCCGAAGTATTCCTGCAAGCTTTATTTATCTGAGATCAATTTTATACGTGTTCAATACAGTTAAGTGATTTAATAAGGTATGATGGGATGAAAAGCAGCAGCTTTACGAGCCCCACAGGATGGAAAATGCCCAAATATATCCGGCTGTTAAGAAGTAGGGTGTAATCTATTACTAATCAGCATATAGCACTTTGTCAATGCTGTGTAACATTTAGCACTTAGATGAATCTCTAGTAATCAAAGTAAAGGTGAGCGAACATATGTCTATATAATTACTCGCCAGGCTATTACATTTACATAGCAATCAAATTAACCAGGCAGAATAATGTGGTCGTTAAAATGGAGAAAGTACTGTTTAGATGAAGCCGATAATTGCTGTTAATCAGGTATATTTATCGTTCTATGCTTGGTCCACGGGTCGATCGGATCAGCGCAGCTGTCGGGACCTGAGCGCATCCCTTCTGAGTGCACATATTTGGTTCATGTAACTGAATTGCGGTAGCTTCAGTGAATTCTAGCATTCGTCTGCGCGCATGCCTCATACAATTTTCAGGGGCCTTGTAGATAATTCTAAGGGAGTCGTCTGATTTAGGGATGCTTCTTGTATTGGCGAGGTGGGTAGCTGAGGAAAAGTTACCAACCCTTCTGATTCCAACCGCCATTCATGCCAATTTTCTTCATTCTCTGGTAGACACGAATGTCCCACAGGAACAGCCAAATAAATAGATTCACATGGAGTTGTCGTGGACAGATACACTGCCTTTGAGGCCAAGCTTTACCCTCGGCGTGCTAGTGAAGTAGCACTGTAATTTTGCTGCTGGAAACGTACCACTGAGCAGCGCGTAAGAATTTCGATCTCGATTTCTTTCTTGTAGGGAAATTGTCAGAAAATAGTTTTTTGGCTGTTAAGAACGCTAAGGTCCTCTTCCCTTTCCCCATTCGAACTTTTAGGCTTTCACCAAGCAGCGAGCAACTTCACTATATTATTAATGAGTACGGGGATTTCTAATTGTATTTGTAATGAGTTTCTCCCAGTTGCTCTCAAGCTACACAGCACAGCGTAGTCCGGAAAAGCACCAGGCGCTTTTCGCCCTATCGGGGCTCATCACTGGTGCGCATTCCCTCGGTCCCGTACTGGGGATCAAACCCATGACCGCTAAAGTCAGATGCCAAGTAGCCAGCAGCTTAAGCCACTGAGCCATGGTGGACGTCAGCTGGGTTACACAAGCTGCAAGCTAGCAATATATATATATATATATATATATATATATATATATATATATATATATGCGTAATTGTGGTCTGTACGACACCGCATTAAACATCTGTGTAGGTCCTACGCTTACCTCATTCAATCATGTCACCGCTTCCAGGAGATTCAATACGGGTGACGAACCATCCGTCTTAGGCCACCAACCAATCAATCTGTCCCAGATACTACGCAAACTTGTGAGGTACAATGACGTAGGCGTTCGTGGGATACCTTGGTAATCATCGCATCTTATGTTACAGTAGCCCGTATTTCGCCGAAATCTGTCCAGTACTACATAGTTAGTGCCAATCTGAGGAAGCTGGGCAGAATAAGTCTATGCCAGAGAAAGAATCGACGTCGTCTACCTGCATTTCTCAAAAGCGTTTGACCACCTGTACCACCGCATTCTATTCCCAAGCTTCGAATTTATGTAATGGGTGATCCTGCCCTAGGTGGGACAAGCAGCTTATTCATTCAAAGCCACCTGAATGTGGAAGTACTCAGTGTCACTTCAGTGTTTATTCAAGTCCAGTTTTGCGTGTTCTAAGAATCGTTAATGGGACCACGTGTATACCTAGTATTCACCAACGAACTTGCCAGTGTGCTCCCGTCTCACTTATTACTGCTAACATCTCATATCAAGAACTGCCATGGCGTTAAGAAAAGGGACGCTCACACGGCCTTGCAGATATATATATATATATATATCCAGAACAACAAGACCCGTTGGTGATAAATTGCCTTCAATGATTCTTCTTCAGACCATTACAATCATACATGGAGGCTAAAAAGAACGAAAGTAAATTAAATCCAGTTTGTTAGGGTTACAACGATAAAGTGAACTGCGCGTTAATGGGTGAATTGCTTGTTACGGAGTTTGACTAGAAGCAGTTGACCCCTGCTTGTTCCATTTTCGCTGGCCAGGGAAGCTTAAGCGTATGGACTAATTACTTTTGCGAGCATCACGAGGGGTAAACAACTGAATGTTAATTGCCTCGGCCGTGGCAAGTGTAGGCAGCCGTTGAGCTTTCGATCGGCGCGGAGGAACTTGTACACTATTCTAAAGGCTTGCTTTAGATTCACCTGATGCCCGGTGGCGACAAACTGGGCCAAAACGGAGCTGCTAGTGCCCCCAGTGACACCGTGATGCAACCAATGTAGGCAGTGTTCGTTCACGCTTTTCTGCAAGTGCCGTGTCGTTAGACCGCTATACTTTGCGCCATAGGCGCACTTGGACTAAACTATGGAGGCGGTCCGCATTGGCAGCTTCTCCTTGTTTCGTGAATGAAGCAGTGGTTTGACTGAAAACGCGCATTTAACACGGCTGCTGTGAAGGTCAACTTAATGGCGTCCGAAACATTTCTGACTCACTCATATACTCGCAAATGTTATATATTCTCACTCGGTGGGATGTTGCCAAAAAGCAAGAAAATATCAAAGGAGTGCATTACTTTTTATTAAATTGGCCATCTTTGATGCTTTCGACGAGCTGGAAGCTGTCACGCTGGCCATATATATATATATATATATATATATATATATATATATATATATATATATCGTGAGAGCCTGCGGTGCGCTGAAGTTTGCGGTGGCTAGATCCTGACAAATGGTCTACCCACTGCTGCTACTGTTTTGCCATGAGCACATATCCTGGACGCCTCCTCGTGGCGATCGCTGGGTGAGAGTTGGGATACGTCCTTCTCCTAGCTAAGATCCAGGGCACCAATCCGCATGAGTCAGTGAACTGACCATGTGTTAGACCCGCTGTCTTTCGGGTGTACATTTAATCGAAAGCTTTGGCTGGGCACCGCAGTTGTTCTTTCGTCAGGTGTGGGCACCCTGCCAGTATCCCAGTCCATCCTCTTTGGGAGTCAGGAAGTGGTCCATGGCACTGTTCCCGTAAAACCTAGCCATGGGAGACATCAGGTCTACGGGCTATAAGCTCACAGCCCGATAGGCGTAGAGCACTAGCGTCACACATTGTCTTTGACGGTGAGAGGGCACCTCCGGGTGTTCAACGGTTTGCTACTGCCCGAACCAAGCCAGGCAGCCCCTGGTCAAATTGGTGCAACCCCCAAAAACCCACTGTGTCTGGCCGTGGTAGCAGGTGTGTACCTTACTACGGTCGCAAAACACAAATTAATTTTTCCGAAACTACGAAGGCTGCTTGTGACGGACCGCAAGCAGATCCCAATCTGTCTCTGCAATCACATTCCCGAGCTGGATCTGTTCCCACTGCCTTGTGCTTCAAGCTATTGCGCCAAATGCTCAGGGCGGAGTCCGTCAAACAAACCAAACCACCCACTGCCTTGTGGGTCAGGCTACTGAGCCAAAAGCTCCAGCCGAGTTTCATCAAGCAAACCTCCGAAGCACACCCGCCACCTCGCGTGCGATTGCCCACCAATGCTATCGTATGCCTGCGTGTAAAGCACTCAACATCTGGCACCAGAAAGTGCGCAAACTACTGGACCGAAATTCGAGTGAGTCCTCCGAACGACGCACTGCATTGGTTGTGATGGAACTGATGCGCTAAAAGTTCGATAGTGCGGCGCCCAGTGAAACTCGGCTCGTTGAGCTAGGTAAGTTGCATTAAAGTGGTTTTGGCTATATCTTCCATTGGGTAGGAAATGCCAGCTCAGCACCACGTGAACATGGGGTCGGATTTGAATTATCTGATAGCCTAAATGGCCAGCTAGTGTGTAAGCCGACAGGCATCAGCGTGCGACTGATGGCTGTTCACCTACGACTCGGAAGAGATAGGTTTGCCACTTTTATACGTGTGTTAGGCTGACGAAACACGTGCTCAATTCTAAGCCCAATTATCTTTCGTGGTACGGTCTGTGTCGAGTAGAGGCCGACTATATCTGCTGGATGCTTACAACTCGCGCGTTGGGCTTGATGCATCGGTGTGGACAGATGTTGTCGGTCCGCATGGCATTTCTTTGGCGAATGCGAACGGTGACAGGCTGTTCTCACTGTGTGCCACTCAGGGCCTGACGATCACGAACACTCAGTTTGCACTGAGTGCGAGTGATATAGCAACTCGGATGCAATTACGTAGTGGTCACGCTCACCTTCTCGACTATGTCATCGTACGTCTTGGTGACATGTGTAAAGTGCGCGTAGCACGTGCACTGTGTGGAGCTGAGTGTGACCCTACTCACAAATTGGTGCGGACCGAAAAGTACATATATTTTTGTAAATCCATGTATTGCACTCCTACCGTAAATCAGCATAAATTAAACATCCTCTCCCACGGCGCTGTGGCGAAACGTGTTGAGCTGAAGAAGGCGATGGCTGCACGATGTGGAATGCATAGCCACAGTAGGTGACCTGTGGCACCATATCTGTAATTAGTTGACAGCTGCTGCCGAGGAGAACATCGAGCGGGAAAACTGTAAGAGGCCTCATTGCGTTGACGAGAGCAATGTGATGAGTGCCGAATTGGTGTCGGAGAAAAATGCAGAATTTGCTGCACAAGCAGCAGACCCCAGTGCTTTGGGAAAGAAGAGTCAGTTTCAAAAAATTCGACGACGACTGACTCGAGAACTAAGTCACATAAAAATGCATCGTGGACGGA